TGTCTTCATATATTTAGGATAGAATTTGACGCATTTATTATTTTTAAGAGATATGAGTTATTGCATAAAACTAAGTTAAAAGATCAACCAAATGGAAACAGTATCCATAAATTCCTAAAATACTATTCTAATCATCTAAAACAAGAATAGGTTTTTCAAATAACAGAGTTAGTTGAATCAGCATTTGTTTATTTTATAGACACTTTATTAAGCTGAGAGCTGCTACTTTATTACTTAAAGACTAAGCCTATAAGGAAATAAAAGGGGTTTAATCCAAGTAATGTGAAAGTAACTAACCCTTCACCTTACTTTTTTCCCCCAAATAATTTTGGTTTCATTAATGGATTCTTTTTGTGAATGGGTCTAAAAAACACCTATTTTGAAACTGCAGAAAGGGCGGGACAAATCACTTCATAGATCTGCTTGTGAAATATTGCCCTACTATACTTTTAAAAATAATAAAAATACTATAACACATTTCCTTACTTCTCTCACAAATACTTTCTTTTTGACATTGCAAATTCTATGCATACACAGAGGACCTCTTCAATGCCCTGCTGAAGCCCTCTAAAAATGTACAGAGACGGTTTTTAAGTGATTTAATTTATACCATTTTAATTCAAGCTTTGTAAAAATGTATCAAAGAGATAGCAAGGTATTCAGTTTTAGTAAACAAGATAATTGCTCCTAAAGTAGCCCCTTGAAGTCGGAGGCAGTAGGCAGCTGCAAACATCCGACTGAAAGCCCATCTATGGCTTCACAGCTTCCAGTCGAGGATGTTTACAGTCGCTCACTGTCAACAGCCATATACCTTCTTTAGCTTTCTGTTCAGTTAACTTGAAGAAGTAATCCCAGCAAGTGTTTCTAAGATGTGCAGGCAACGATTCTGTAAATTACTGAAGCCTCATTCAAACAGCAATATTCTAGAAAATGTCTCAAATTCAAAACAAACAAGAAGGCTCATGGATGTCTATTACTCATCACCGAGTTTCTAGTTTCTATAAAATTTGGTGATACACTAAGACAACATATGTAAATGGTTTCATTCATTATTGTTAGCGACAAGAAGTAAATAGGCAAGTGGCCAGGTTACTTAACATGACTTCAACATGCATTATGTAATTAAAATCCTTTAAGCAAAAGTGACCAAACACAGAAACCAAATTATCTTAACAGCATAAAGCATACATTTAACATTAAATACTGCAGTTAAGTGAGCTTAGACTACCAGTGAAAATATAAAAGGTCTACTTTAAAAGTTATAAACTCTGACAAAAAAAAAAGACTTACGTGCTGCTTTTATGGATCGCTTTTGCTCTAAAGTCTGCTCCCAGAGAGGACTTGTACAGTCAGCTGATTTTTGAAAGAGTAAGCAACAATCAGGAGAAAAACAGAAAAGAATAACGAGGTATAACACAGGCATATATCAGTATGTGGATCAAAGTTTCCCACTGGAAAAACACAGAACCTATCACTCACAACAGTGACGCACATTAACTCAAAATTTGAATGTTTTGAATTCCACTCCCATTCTCTTATGAAAATAAATGAGGAAAACTGAAGGTTAAGCTCTATCAGTCACTACTTTCCTAAAGTAATTCAAAACCATTCTGAGTCTAGTGAAAGATTAAGTTGATACAGAAAAGTGGGTGTGCCTTTCCCTGAGATTTGTTTTTAGATTAAGTTACCATAAGATTCTTAAATTGCATTAAGTCTTACTAGTTTGTGATACCAAACCCGAAACAAAAATAAAATCCACACAGAAAGCATTATGCTTACTGAAACTAACAAATATGAAAAACTCCATAAATTCCTTTTTCAAAGCAAAGGGTAACTCTATCCCATTAAGGTTAAAAAAGTTAATCTTTGAGTCAGCAGGTGAAAACAAGCTGAATTATGTTGTGGCCTTTTTCTTTATTAACTAAGGACTTTGAACTATTAAAACTTCCTAGGGAACCCGTTTTCTCAATGGGTCAAGTCACATAGGGGAACAAAGCAAACTTTATCAGTGCTGTGCAATTCTACATTCCAGAAATTCTTAGTACTTGGCATTCATATACCACTGCTGACTAGAGCTTGGGTCAATCCACCGAACTCAGCTATGGCTACCAACCTTGTGAACTTCTCACCAAGATACCCACTTCTTTTAAGTTAGCCACAACTAGACAGGCAGAGTACTCTTTAATTAAAATAGATAAATACCAAGGCTTATATCCTGGGGGGACATTGTATATCAGTGACTTTTTTAAAAAAAAATATTTTTACTACCATAATTTTCTCTCAAAGTGACAGGTCCCCTACTTGCCTTGGAATCTTACTGGTTTTAAGTAACTGTAAATTAACATGTAAAACAGTGACAAGTAAATACTAAGCAAACAACCTCAAATAACAAATAATTGCTTAAATAATTCTATTGCTACCCTCTCACTTGGAGAATTGCTGATCCAAGTGGGACCAATACTACTCAGTAACCAAAAAAATAAGCATGTAGTTTAAGTAACACTGAGTCTCAGTTAAACTGGCAAAATTATCTGACATCCAATTGGAATAAACCTGCTTTAGCTTTCACACAGATTTCACCTAGCTCATATCTTGCTAAAAGAGGAGCCCACATACATACAGGCAATAAAGTGCTTTTCTATTTATGAACTCTTGTAACTAAGATCTTATGGTCTTTACTTTGTTTAGTGAACTTTTGATGTTTATTCATGAAGTTCTGAGCAAAAGACTGTGTTTTCAAAGTTATGTTAAGGAATTCATTGGATCAGCAATTCTCCAAGTGAGAGGGTGGCAACAGAATGACCAGGACAGCTTCTTCTAACCCCGCATACCTGGATTGCCTCTGCCACATCCACATTGCAATTCTTATTCAGTTGATGGGGAGGCTGCTGGGTATGTGAATTTTGCAAAAGCTATCAAACAATTTTGCTACACCTCCAGGGCAGATAACCATTGATCTAGAAGGACTGAGCTAAATAAGTTTAAGACTAAAAAATCTTGCCATGACCTGAGAAATATGACCAGTAAATCCATTTAAAAATTGTGAATTAAAAACAAATATGGCAGAATAAGATCCAACTGTGTTCAATACATCAGACCCTGATTTGTCTTATATAACGCTAGAAATGCTTACAAAAAACAATGTAACTACTTTAAAACCATAAGGATACTCTTTAGCCCTGTTAGACAAGGTCTCTAAAGTCTTCCCACCCTAAATTGCAAATCTGGATGTCTGCACCCTGGACAGGCTTTATTATTTTCCTCATATCAGTTTTAAGTGCTTGCAGGATTAATTCTTTCTAGTGGAGTTTAGCAGCAACCTGAGATAAAGTGTAAAAATTTTTTTTAGCTACCCTCAACCATTCAACCCTCTTCCACCCTTCTCCTGTCCACATAACCTTCTCATCCTCTATTCTTGGAGTGTTTGTAGTGAAACTCTAAGAATGAATATGTTCCATCTCAGCACTGGACCCAGTGCCCAGGCTCTACATCCTCCAATCCTCCATCTCTTTGGGGGCTTAGTGTCCAGGGTAGCTGCATTAATAGTTTTGGCATTCATCCTCTGTCATGTTGCTTTGGAAAAACACACCTAAAGACAAGAAATCTAGGTGGTCTTTTATATCTTTTCTAGAAAGCATACATAGAATTGATCTGAAATTGAAGTGACCTAAATGTACAAAATTCTGCCCTTTAAAATTAATCTTTACCTTCTCTGATTCAATCTTTCACACATAATCCACATTCTTTTAGTCTAATTCAAGGGCTTCTAATTAATTATATTTCCTGCTACCGATGATAATGATGAGCCTTCCCTTGAATTTCTTTGTAATTAATACAAATACAGACCTACTTACTCCTTGCCTCATGAAAGTGGACGAATGCTGTAAGAATTTACTGGGAGTGATTTACCATGGATTGTGCAAATGTGAAAGATTAAATAATTCAAATTCTAGGAAAAAAGTATTATCTTGGATAGTATAGAGCTTACAGTTATAAGGAATAAAATCTCTTCTACTCTAGAAATGAATATCGCTTAAATATCATTCTCTGATAAAATGGTAATGAAAAATAAATTGAGAATTCAGCAAAAGTGTATGTACTCAAGTTTAAAGCCTTAATTTTAATACAACCTCAACTAGGTACTTGTTGCATGATAAATAATGCCTATACATGATCTCATTTCATTCCTACCACAGCAAGATAAGGCATCTATAATCATTACCATCACAGATAAGGACAACAGGCTTGGAGAATTGAAATCACATCCGTTACTTACTTTTCTATTTTGATTTATTTTATTGTAAGCTTTTCTGAATCATGTGTGGAGTACTGGAAGGTGTGGGTTTCAATAAACATGAAGTAGTCAATCACAGTTCAATGAAAATTGTATTTTCTTTTAAAATTAGGCATAAAAAGTTAACAAATGAAAAAATGTTTGAGAGTAGAAACAAATACCCAGATCCTTTGGTGATAAAGCAGTTCATTCAGTCACTCATTCATTCATCATATATATTCACTTGCCAAACTCTCCTCTAAGGTAATACTGATTTACTATCTATGCTGGGGTTCCCCAGATAGGAGATCTCAAAGCTTGTCAGACAGCTTTTTTAGTTGTGGTCACCCTACTTTCTTCCTCCTGCACTGGAACCCCCATCTGGCTGGAGCCCCTCCTTCCTACTTTGGCTGGCATTCTTGCAAGGGACGGGGATTCCAGAGATTCAGGGTATCCCAGCCCCCAGGCTAATAAAGGACTTTCCACCCCACTCTCATCCTGCTCCCTCCCTTCCTTCAGGCACTGTCAGCAGTTCCCTGGCACCTCCCTTAGACCACCTGCTGGCTCATTTCACTCCTCCCCAGAGGCTCCTGCTCCAGGAGACTCCTCTCAGGAAGAGCAACCCTAACCAAGAAATGCCCTTCTATTGAAATAGGTCTTATATCTAAAGGGACATTCGGTAGATTTAAGATGAATTTCATTGTAATAACTACATGGCTGAATTCATACTCCAAATAGCTGTTTTATTTTTTAAAAAAGATCAAAGCTGTAAGATTAAATTATCTGCACAATAAAAACTGAACATGATTCAGTGTAAAGAGAAATTATTATAGAGGAACATAATTCTATAATAGAAACTGCATTTTAAAATACACATATTTTATAAATATCACTATTAAACACTCATTTCTAATTTAGGTCAACTGTTCGTAGTTGATATTTCCATCAATATTTTAAGCAACTTAAGTGATTTTGGTGACCTTAAGGAAACACTAGAAAGTAATCTTGCTACTCATTCATTATTTTAAATTTTAAAAAGCATTTCTAAAGCCAAGGTTAGTTTCGAGTCTTTTATTAATCATTTTGTGTAAAACAACAATAATCACCACAAAAAAGCTAGATTTCTGACATACTTAGAAACTAACCCATGCTGAAATTATATAATCATTAGAACAAGTTTACAAAGCTATGCAATGACAAAAAAAAAATTAGCAGTTATCCCATCGAGTTAAACTCCAAGAAAGAAACTGACATAATCATGTTAAAAATTCATGATTTTTCCCCTCTACTTTTCTGTATTTTACCAATTTTTAATGTGAATACTTTAATACAAATTGTTTTAGAAACAACTGACCCATTTCAGACATAAGTAGTAATATATTTTATATCTCAAGAGTAATGTAGACAGTACCAAGATATTTCTTATTAACAGTTCTCTATCTAGGTAATCTTTGGAAGGAGAGAACACTGCATATACCTCTTCCCTGAAGGCTCGGATTCTGTCTCAATCACTGCTGTACCTACTGCAGCACCCCATAATGTGCCTTTTATACAGTGGATGTTCAGTATATACTGGCTAATTTTAAGATGTTGATAAGAAGATCTTTAAAACACACCTTACTTATAATTATCCAGCATACTTATTTTGAACAATTTAAAATCTCACAGCTCTTTAAAAACTGCTTTTTTTCCCCTTTAAAAAGTGATGAAATAGAGACAACAGTTAATAATGGGTACAGATTAGAGCCCTAACATGAAGATGTGGTTCCCCCTCCGCCCAATCCTGTGGTCTATGAGAACTGTCCAGAGACCAGCCAACGCTTTTGCCAAGGTGGGAAAACTCGTAGCATTAGACTGTTTTGATAGTGACTGGCACAGACAGGTCTCTTAGGCTCATAGCCTGTTCTCTCCCTGAATGGAAACCAGGATACCGACACCTTACAGACCTCTTCTGAGAAGTGACTAAGGTGCCACAAGAGGTGACAAGAAAGTATCACACACATATTAGTGATTTTTCCTTATTATGACTCTGATTATGAACATGTTAGGGCAAATTAAATAGAACAGTGTTTACTAATGGATATAAACTACTAAAATGTTATTTGGGCTTTTAAACGAGCTACGTGATCTCATTTGACCCCACTGGACATCTATTTTCTCAACTGTAATAAGAGGGTTAATAGATTCTCTCCATAATCCTTTCAGTTATAAAATTCTATTATTTAAATTCCTTCATTGCTTGAATTTATGAGGTAGAGTGCAAACTGGAGAGAGGGAAGGATGGCAGAATTTTGTTTTTAAGTTAAACATACATGAATCATGAAAACAGACTTCCCTTAACTAGTGTGAGTTTTCCTAATACAAAGAACCACCAATTACCCTGAATTCATTCAACATTACTTCCCACACCCACACATTTTTTAAAATAGCAAGACTACAAAATAGTTTGAGTATATTTACAGACACAGTAGTCAGTAACTGGCTTATGAAGCTTTCTATAGAAGAACTTGTCTTCAACATTGTGTGTTTGGATACAAATTGGGTTTGCCATGGGAACTGGGTTGCAAGCAGCAAAATAAAAGAGATTCATATACCTTTACCCATGGCAAACAGTAACACAGCATACCGAAAACAGGGATATGAAATTCTTTACAGCAGGGTACAGTGGCTCACGCCTATAATTCCAGCACTTTAGGAGGCTGAAGAAAGATTGCTTGAGCCCAGAAGTGAGACCCCATCTTTACAAAAATAAAATAAAAATATTAGCCTGTCACGATGGCACATGCCTGTAGCCCCAGATACTCTGGAGGTTGAGGCGGGAGGATCACTTGAACCTGGAAGGTTGAGGCTGCAATGAGCCCTGTTCATGCCACTGAACTCCAGCTTGAGCGGCAGAGATACTCTGGCGCAAAAAAAGAAAAAAACAAAAATCTTAAGAGTCCAAGCTTTAAATCAGGTTATCAGATCTTTATGTCACTGCACAGGAGAATAGGCAGCTGATATGGTTTCGCTGTGTCCCTACCCAAATCTCACCTTGACTTGGTGGAGATAATTGAATTACCGGGGTGGTTTCCCCCATACTGCTCTTGTGGTAGTGAGTAAGTCTCATGAGATCTGGTGGTTTTATAAACAGGAGTTCCTCTGCACAAACTTCTTGCCTGCCACCATGTAAGACATCCCTTGCTTTTTCGCCATTTTTGTGAGGCCTCCCCAGCCATGTGGAATTGTGAGTCAATTAAACCTCTTTTTTTTTAATAAATTGCCCAGTTGCAGGTATGTCTTTACTAGCAGTATGAGAACAGACTAATATAGCAACTCAACTTGAAACAGCTCTCTGCACCTCAAAATCAAAGACTCTTTCAGTAGAGTTTTACTACAAGTTAACGTTTGATTTAAACTGTTGTGGGGCTACCCAAACCTCAGGTGCTCACATAAAGATCTTCTAGATTTTCAACAAAATAACTGCAAACTTCTAAAATAAAAATCAAACAAAGAATAGTTATTAAAAGACTCATGTTATGATTGCATTCTACTGTATTCACCTAATTAATATGTACTCACAGCAGGTTTGTGCTAAATTTGAATCACTAGGGATAACTGATGATGAAAATACAGTGTGACTGGCCCTAATTTTATTCGTAGAGTTAAGCATCAAGAGTGGAGGTTTTTTAAAAAAGCTCAGGTCAACCAAACAGGGCAGCCACAGAAGCAACAGCAATGAGCCATCAACTCCTGTTTTGCTTCTCTTATCTCTAGGGAGGAAAGAGAGTCTGAGAAAGCATGGGATAGCTTCCATTAGCTTCTAGGCCCAGGTTCTCTTTCTGCCTAACTCTAGAAAACCTTGCTGTGGTGGCAATCTAGGATAAACAAATGGGAAGAACAGTGCAAAAAACAAAAATTTCCATGATTATAGGAAAGGATGGACAAGTGGGAGAAACTGATAAATGAAAAAAAATAAGAAAAAAAGCTCCTTTTCCTGCTTTCTATCCCCCAATTTACTGGTGATTCCCAAGCATTGATCAAGAAAAACATCTTTAGTTTACTTTATTTCAGATAAGGATCTAACCAAACCTGCTAAGATCATACTTTTCTATTTGACAAATGAACAACTGTTTTAAAATAAATTTCTTCAAATCTAGATTTTTACCATTAAGACTAGCTCAATATTTTTGTTTTGTTTTGTTTGAGACGGAATCTCACTTTGGACCAGTGTGGAGTGCAGCGGCGCGATCTCGGCTCACTGCAACCTCTGCCTCCCAGGTTCAAGCAATTCTCGTGCCTCAGCCTCCCGAGTAGCGGGACTACAGCCGCGCCACCACACCTAGCTATTTAAACTTAGTGTTTTTCATAAAAACTAATGAATAATCTACCTTTTCTATAAAGAAAAGTCATTATAGATGATTTGAGAAGCATCCAAAAAATCCTAAATTCCCGAAAGAATTCTTATTCTGACATTAGTTTTACATTCTATGGAACAAAAAATGCCACACTTCCATTTTACCTAAATTATCTGTTAAGAAAAGAGAACTTATATACAAAAGTACTTTATATTAACTTAAAAAATGTAATTGATGAAACCAACTACCCTAATTTAGAGTCTCTGAAACATTAATTTTTAAAAATCACCACATCGGTTAGGATTCTAACGTATGCAAGTCTTAGTCTTATTCTTATTTTTTTCTTTCTTTCTAATGCTAGTCTTAAAATTGCCTCTGGTATTTTCTAAATGTGCTCAGAAGTCCTAGGGCTCTGGTAGTTTTTTAACTAATAAAATAAACATAGCAATAGAGTACCTGCAGTTCTGCTAACAATATTGTTTATATTACAAGTCCAATCCACAAAGGCTACAGAGAAAAATATCCAGTATAAACAAACATTACTTAGATACCAGTGGCATCTTAAAGCAGCACACCCAAGTCTCAAAATGCAAAAGGGAGAAATTTTCCACTCCCACGATGCCAGGCACAACTCCCTGGTAAAGCACTTGTCAGGTAAAAGACAGTGACATTGCCTCTGTTACTGTGAAGTTGGAGAGGAGGTGTGGGTGTGAAGCACATCAGTAATTCTCTCTTCATTTTTTCACCCTCTTTTTTTCCCCTCAATATATCTCTTCTTTTCCACAGTCTCTCCTTTCTCCATATTTCCTGCTTTTAGTTGCTCTCCCATCTTCTTCCATCCCCAATTCCAACAAAAAAGACAGCTTTGTCCTTTAATTCTGTTAACATCAATCTCTAAATTTTATACAACACACATTCATAAACACTACTGGATCATATTTTCAAAAGAATATACAAAGGGCAAAGAGGGGGATGAAATGGGCTGGGGTTAAAGCTAAGAAAAAAATTATCCACTGGTATTTGCAATGCCTAACCTTCTAGCTGAGAGAGAAGTTAAACCCTCCAAAAAAGCAGGAGTCAGCCAAGAAATGCTAGGAGAAGGTAAGACATAGGTTCATGTAGCCCTATGAGAATCACATGAGCCAGTACGGCCACCTCACCAGGCTGGAACAGTCAGCTGAAACCTGAGGAGTGCCTCCTCTTTCTAAGTTTGCCCTTTACTTCTAGAGCCCAAAGGCTTAAAATTGAGGAAGGAGGACATGTTGCCCTTTAAGACTGATCCCAGTTGAGTCCCTGATCCTTTCCAAGTAGACGCATCTTCCCAAACTCTTGCACATACTTCTGTTGCTTCTTAGCACTACTAAGTTTTCCACTCTGCTTACACTTATCATGCTCCTCTTACTTAAGGTCTTACCATTAAATAAAACTTTGTATCTTAGTTTTCTCAATTGTAAAATGAAGATAATTACAATTACAGAGTTAAGAGGATTAAATATTCCAGTATTTATAAAGTGTTTGGGACATGAAAGTATTTGTTTAAATAAAATAAAAATAAAGGAAACCATCTCTGAATGCATATACCCAAATTCAAACGACAGTAAGTTTTTTACAATGGTAAAACAGACTGCAAACAGAAAAGAACACTGAGCGTATTGAAGTTGTCACTGTATCATCAATCCTATAGAGTTACTAAGGACTGAGAAAGATTCCCTAAGAAACCAGGTTTTATCTTAAACTTCCATATTTAGTCAATTTTGGTCCTGAAACACTAATTATTAAGGAAGAAACACATCTATTTATTTTCTGAAACCACATTTTATAAAGTGGAAATATGAGTCTACCCTCAGCATGGAACATCCTGTATCTGACTATTCATTGCACGTCATTTGCATTCTTTAGGTATTATTGAGATAATATTATTCAAGACATTTCACTGTATATTCTAAAAAAAGAGTTTCAAGTGAAATGTTTAAGAGGAACAAACTTACTTTCATTTTGAGTCAGGGCTACAATAAAATGAAAAGGACAGCTATGATGAAAACAGAAAAAAAAAGGGGGACAATATTGAAAGAGAGATAAGAAAATTATGTCAGCTTCATGACAATGGGGCTATCTACTATGTTTATAATGTGTAAATAAGTAAATGATATAATGGCATCAAAACTTACTATAAACAGAGATCAGAGTGATCTTGAATATGGGCCTACCTATCTGCGAAGTATAAAATTACCTCATGAAAGTAAAAACTCTGCTTTAAACTTTTATTTTTCTATTTTAAAATTGCTTTTAAGGTAAAAATATTCTAAAAACATGTCTGGAGTCTCAAGATAAATTACCAGATATTAACAATTATGTGTGTTTTTTCTTTTTCTATTAGAATTTAGCAACAAGTTTATTTTTTCCTGGTCACTGAAATATAAATTGAAAAAATTTTAAAAATTTTAAATTGAAATGCCAACTTACAAACCTGTAAGACAGCTAACCATATTAAAAATTACTTCTGAAAGACTGATTTCACGAATTTAAGAGCTAGAAAAATTTATACATGTAAACATCTGTTCTCTAAGTTATAGTAATATAATGTTAAGATTTTAAAAATATATTTGATTTTTTAAAATACTGTGTTTACAACAAAATTCTACTCATAGCAATTCAAGGAATATAATTAGAGGTTTTATGAAAATAGATAAATCCTTATTTAATAGAAAGTATTAGCACTGATATTTTTAATTTACACAAATAGAATTTAAAATTTCCAAAAGTTTCTGCTAAAGATATCCAGTTTTGAAGTGTTAAGCTTGTCTAAATTTCAGCATTGTAACTTGAGTTCTAACTTCTGCAGGAAGAAAAGTGCACTTCATTTAAGCAAGAAATTTCCATTACTTCTAGATTAAGAAGCCACACCTCATACAACTACTGACAGGAAAACATTTTAATTCAAACCTCTACCACTACACAGCCTGAAGCAAAGTTTAAAAAAAAAAAAAAGACACGAAAATACAAGCACAACTCACATTTTCAAAGACAGGAAACTCTTGCTAAATAAGTAGCAATTATGCTGAAGAATTTATATGCTAAAGCACGAATGAATATAAAAACACCAGAGCAGTCAACCATAGCTTTAGCACTTTGAGTATGATTAACAGAATGAACTTTCAAAGGTCAATTAAATGTCAACACACTTTAAAGAGATATTCTTAAGTCTGGTCAATGTATAACAGCACCTCTTAATTCAGGGGTATCCTTCTTAGTTTAAGCATAACGTGCATGGGATAAATGTACATATATATGCAGAATTACAACATGTCTCCAACTAGATTACTACAGAAAACTCATCTATCACTTATTCTAGAGTTTTGACTCTGTTAGCATTTTCTAAGTTATGAAATGATTAAAAGAAAACATAAATATATTACTATATAGTACCATCCAATGAAGATGAAATGCTCAGGACTAAGGTTTATCAAGAAGTTGATGCTATTTATTCAACAATATGAAATCATTCCCAAGGATAATGCTATATTGTCCACAATACATATTATCCAGATACCTAAGTCACCCCCCCCATTAACCTTCCCTGAATTCTTGTGGTTAAAGAGTTTGGAAAAAAGGAATATGGCATTTAAAAACTGCCAAGTTTAGCATCAGAAATTTCTGGGATAGTACAGAACAAGTCCTGAAGGCACTGAGTGCCCATTACTGATCATTCCCATCCAAAAACTCAGTAAGATCTTCAATCCCATCCCACATGAACTAGGTCAAGTTGTCCAAGAACCTCAGAATGAGCATAGACCACCAAGATTATCTGACCCAATCCTCTCCACTTAACAGATCAGCAAATAAAGATCCAGAGAGGTAAAGTAACCTGGTTTGGCTCACACGGCTCCTTAGCAGATGTCTTAAAACTCAGTCCAGTGCTTTCTTCTCTTCATAAAGTCCATCATATACTTTTTTTTTTCCATTAGGACTTTAAGACCAGGACATAATTGCCCAAATAACTGTGGCTACCATCAGAATTCAGAGAATGCTGGGATTTTTAAGAAGCTAATGATCTGGGAAGCCTCCAAGGAGAAGTTGGAAATTGAAGAATGAGTAGAATCTGGGTGGTTTGAGAGGAGGCATCACTAATGAGGGAAGCAATATGGCTCATGCACACGTGTTGAGCCTGCCACGTTCCTGAACTACAGAGACAATGTCTAGAGGAAAATGGGGTTTTAAGGCCACCTTATAAGCCAGGCAAAAAAGGTTCAATTTGATGAGGGAACAAACAGAAAGTTATTAGGGGACTTTAATTTTAGAAACCTGATGTGATGAACGCAGAGACTAGTCTAGCAAAAGGTGTGCAAGAATGGAAGTGGGAAGAGAGAAAGACTTGAGGTGCTTCACAGGGGTCTGTTTAATACTATTAATACCTTATAGGGCTTTTGTGAGGAACAAGTGAGCTGATAGAAGAGAAAGTATTTGACAAGAACAAATGCCCTAGAAAGCAAAATTATATTAAAAGTCTGGGGGTAGGGGCCTCTCTGACCGTATCTCCACGTTTTGGTGACACACACTTCTCTATAAAAGCAAATTTGGAGATGAACTGTGGATCTTTTCCTATAAGATCATAGAAATCTCTTCCCTTCAATATTTTCAAAAGCTAGATCCCAAGGGGGAGAAGACAGCTGCCATCCATAAGCCCCTGCAAGGCTATAGATCAGTAAGGCTAAAATCCAAAACTAGGATTCTGTCTTTGAGGCAGACCACATAATCAGTGTTTCTGAAAGTGAGTCGAGAAAGTATATAATTAAGGGCTAAATAAGGTAGTACAAGTAAGGAAGAGAGTAGAAGAGACAGTACCTGAGCCAAGGAGGTACGTGATGAAAGTTATTAGCTGGCACTGCAACATTGTAGTCCACATCCTTCTCCCATCCCTTTTCCCTCTGTTCAACAACTACTACTTCCATTTTGTCCAGAGGTACTTATCTCCTCCTGCGTTGCGCTGTCTTCCTCTTTTTTTCCTTCTTCTACAGCAACTCTCCAGGCTTAAAAAGGAAATTTGAAAAAGTTATTACAATAAATTAAAAGCTACATATATTAAATATATACTGTGTGATTTATTAGCTGATGTTTTAATTTACAGTCTTACATAATTTACAGAACAACTCCTATGAGGCATTTTTCAAGTAAGGAAACTGAAACTTGGAGAGTCAAGGATGTAGGTTGAAGCTACCCAAGCAGTAAATGGCAAAACTAGGATTGCAATCAGGACTGGCTGACTCCTCAACCTATGCTTTGAACCTCTCTTCTAAACAATCACTGCCCCCCTTTTTTTAACTGATAAGCTTGAAAATTCTCATTTATGTGTTGGGCATTTATAGATAGAGCCACTATATGAGTTTGTAGATTAAAGTTTTGACAACCAAGAACAGAGGTGCCTGGGCTTAGCCACACTTGCTTGCCAAATTATCTGCTTTAGGACTAAAATTTTTGAAATGTGAGGCTTGAAGGATGTTGAAGGGACAGCCCTCCATTTAGCATTCTTGTCTGTTCTCTCTCAGGTCATCTGTCCCTTAGGGTCTATTCCCAATCATTTGCTTGAAACCGTATCTCCCTAGTTGAAGAGAAGGCTGGGACTGCCACTCCTACAAATCACCAACAGGTTAGGGAGGATGGTAGGAGTATCCCACTAGTAGGAGGGGTCTGTGAACTGTGGTCTCTTGAGCCCTGTGTCCCCAAAGCAGCCTTAACTCTGCTTGTAAGTGGTACATTCTATGTTGATTTACCTGCAGAGGTGGTTTCATGAGGGGTTCCCTGGCCACAGGGCCCAACTAAGAGATGATGCCAACATGTCTGGTGCTGTAGGGGAAACGATCAGAGCAGGGAGCATCTGGGGAGCTTTTTAATGTTCCTAGAAGAAAGCAACAAGAGCATGACAACTGTGGCAAGAAAACTCTCAACACTAATTCTTAAAATTTAGTGTAATTAACTCTCCCTTTTGAAGGAGCTCATTAACCCATTTATGCCACAGGTTGCAAATGTTTTTGTGAAAAATCAGACCTTGGCAATGACCTTGAGCAGTAGGATAGAAATAACTCCCACAAGCTTAGCGTTCCAATAATGGAACGCTAGGCACAAACGGGTTTTACGAAAAGAAAATGTAGGTTCTGTTTACAGACATTCTGATTATGTAAATGTGGGATGTGCTGAGGAGTTTGAAGTTTTGTAAGGACTACGGGTGATTCTGACACAGGTGATCTGAGGACTACACTATGAGATACACTGCTGTGATCTCTTATAAGATAGCCGAGCCAGCAAATCTGCACAGAGGAGAACCCATATTCTACAATATGGGTTGTTCAAATATCAATGCTAAGTTCAAATATCAATGCTAGGTTGAGTAGTTACTTTGAAATAAGGCCACTGAGCTTTCCAGAAGTTGCCAGGTTTACAAATGTTGAAGTGTGGCGGAGGAGGGGGCAGGAGGCGGCTGTGTTAGTATTTTCCTGATGTTACCAAATAACCAAATAGACCCTCAGAGGAATAACGGCATCTCACTGCAGTTTACATTCCACATCGGACCTCTCCTACACAAAGTGATGGTCCAGAGTGAAGACCTTCTAGGCAAGATGCTACTTCCAGTGCTTAATTTACATTTGGTGAAACACTGATGATAATTTTCCTCACTGTGGATTTAGTTGATTCCAAAAGGTATACTGTCCTTCATGTAACTAAACTGGTTTATTTCAAGCTATTTTAAAAATGAATTTAAAAACATCAGACAGCATTCAAGTGAGATATTATGGTTACGATTAGGCCATTTAATTAGACATCCAATCACAATGCAAACAGCCACTGATTATTTAAGAAATACACCTTTACAAAGGTTCGTGTTCTTCAAACAAAACTAGGTCATAAAATGTATTACATTAAATCAATACTGCTGTCTTTCTCCTAGAAACCCTATCACTTGTCTTTGTCTTTTTTCAAATGTGTATACCTGTTTTAAAGTACAAACGCTTAGGCTAGATACTGGAACTAAGCTCTGTTTTGCTGCCAGTTCTTTCTTTGACACTTTCTTTCTCTCCACTAAAGCACAATCATCATTCTCTTTAAGGATGGACAAGATGGACTTTTAATTATTCTTATCTGAGTGTTTTATTCAGCAAGTATTTGTTGAGTATCTATATTTATGCACTTACTTTTGTAAAGAACTTTTGTTGCTATAAGCTCCATGAAGAGAAAATGCCCACTGAAGTACCTGACATCTGGAATTCACTCTCATGAAATGGTGAGAAAACTGAAAGACTTTGTCAGTTACAGAACAAAATAATTTCTCCTGTATACACTACTGACAAAGTACACATGCAATATTTAAGAGAATTTTCGTTATGAAAAATGTCTGATTTTACTGTTTAGAGAGAAACTGTAGGTTATTATGATAACCAAAAGTTCACACACCATTGTCTTGCAATACAACTTGTGACAGTATTTCGATATCATTGCCAGACTAAACCTTTAACATTAATTATTCATCAAAATTATACATGCCACTAACACATCTCAACAAAGAAGATTATGTAAGTGAGCTGCCTTGGCGTCAGTAATACTGAACACAGTAGCTATTTTCAATCCTTCATTAAAATTAGATCAAGATGTACTTGTATTATGTGTTGCTGTTCCTGTAAGGAAGACTTACATTAGTTTAAGATTTACTTTGGGTAAAAATGACATTTTTTCTTTTTTGACATTTTTCTTCTTTGTCCCCTCCTCCACTGCCCGCCCCCCCCCCCCGAAAAAGTTTTCAGTAGAATACAGAAAACAAAAACACAAACACCTGCCCTGTTCACTCTCTCTTATGCATAATAAATGCTTTGTTCTCCCCTCAACTGGATCCGGCAGGGATCGCCGGGGGCACCTGCCACTTCACCCTCAGGCTTGGCTCTCTGTCCTCACCCTGGCCCCTAGGATTCCAAATGGTACAACAAAATACGACAATCCTAAGGTTCGTAAAATAAGCAATGGGTAATTTATTTTTCAGTGAAGGAAAGCCTTTAAATATTAGTGTTTTAAAACAGCAGACTTAAAAGTTAGTTCTGAGTACCCTGAAAGGTGAATCCAGGCGCATATAAACATATCCTGGCCTACCGCTTCGTAACTTACGCACCGTGTTGAGGCCCCAGGAAAATCTCAAAACGGAGATGTAGTCTAAAAACTGGACGACACCACAGACCACGTTGCTGTAGCCCCACATATTACCCACGAGAAAATCTAAGTGGTTAAGTCACTTGTCCAAGGTCAAGCTGGGCCAGTCGCAGGCAGAGCTAGTCCGCGACCTTCTAACCCTTCCTTCTCCCACCCAGCCGAGCACAGGCCCTTGGTCGCGCCGGCCCCCGAAGGGTTCCCACGGATACGGTTCCCAAGTCAGTGGCATGTCAGTGCCCTTCAAGCTACCGCACTTTTATTTGTTCTCCCCGCCAGCTCCAGAAAGTATTAAAGACTCTCTCCGCGCCTTCTTCCCAAGCCCAGGTGCCCTAAACCACTTGAGCCCACCGCGCCCAAAGCCGACTCACCCGCAGCCCCAGGTGCGGGAGCCCTCGGACCGACTCCGGCCCTCCCCGCAGTCCTCGCCGGCCGCGCTGCGGCCCCGGCTGACGACGAGTCGAGAAAGTCACCCTCGGTGACCGCGGACGCGTGGGGCGGGCCGCGTCGCGCCGCCCCGCGGAGGCGCCGCAAACTTTTCCCGGCTTGCAAGTTGCCGGGCTACGCGGCCGCGGACAGACTTCCTTCGCCGGCTGCCGGAACGAGCGGGGCGCCCCTATCCCGGGAGGGGGCTGGGCGAGCAGGGTGACGGTCAAGTTGGGGTCTGGGGAGCGCAGGCGCCCCGCACTCTGGGGCCCGGCCGCATTGTCTACGCGGCCTCGGACCAAGCCCCGGCGGCGGTGGCACCGGCGGGCGCGGGGAGGAGTTGCCGTCCCGAATTTGCCGCCCCCTTTCGCCGCCGCCGCCCACCGCGTTCTTTGTGTGTCTCTCGCCGCCCTCCGGCCGCTTCGCCGCTCGCCTGACAGCTGATGGGCTCACCGCGCCGGGTCCCGCGTCCTCTCGGCCGCAGCCGGCTGAGCCCGGCCCGGCCGGAGGAGGAGGGGAAAAGAGGAGCGTTGACAGATGCTGTCTCGCAGCGGCCACCGCCAGGGGAAAAGCCTGGACTGCCTCGGCAAGAAGCGGCCGGTCGGTAACCGGCCCCAGCCTGTATTCGCCTCAAAGACCCCAATTGCCTAGGAGACCTTCCCTCCGCAGCCGCTCGCGCAGCTCCGCTCTCGCGCCCCGCGCCCGGCTCCGCGGACTAGCGCGCCCGGTCAAGAATCCTGGGGAATCCGCTCCGCCCCCTGGCTCCAGCGTCCTCCAATGATGTCGGCGTACACAGGGCTGTTCCATCCAATCAGGTGTCGGAAAGCCCAGACAGTCCGCGGGAGTGTAGCCAATAGAAGGCGACTCCGGCAACACACCCGCCCTGATCCACCAGGAACAAACCGCTCCGAGCTCGGTGGTGGGACCGATCCTGGCGCCCAGATCAAGCCAAGTCCGGCCAAAGCTGTGTCGCAAAGTGAGAATCTGAAGACAGGTCCGGTACTTAAATGGCTATGATTCTAAAAAGTTGAAGATGAGAACGGTGGACGCACAAAATCTTTACCCTTGGCTTAAAACGCCTTTTCTGGCGAAAGTTTGTATATGAAAGAAAGCTGAACACTTTGTAGCACTGTTTAAGTGAAGGCCTTTCCTTTTAGAACACTGCTTTACAATGCCTAATCAGCCGGGCTCGGGTTGGTGCATTTAGAGTCCCGAGCATTTGTGTTCCTAATAAGTTTGCCAGAATGTCGGATATCTGAAACAGGTTAGTTTCTATCCTGCCCCAAAACACAGACTGTCACTGGCACCACCATGTTGTGGTTTTTTTTGTTTTTGTTTTTGTTTTTTCCTTGAATGAAAATATAAGAGTTCTGTATGTAAATCATCTTTATTGTGAACTTTATTTCTATAATAAAGTCACACAAACTATCTTCAGTGGAGGTTGGATGAAATACCGGAAAAGAACAATGTAGAGACAGATGATAGATATGTGGGATATCTCTATCCATCTGCCACCCATGTATCAATCAAGAAAGGACTTGAGTAAAGCACTGGCTATAAACGACTGTACCTTTTGATCACAGGACCTTACATATAATAGACACACTAGTTGTTTGTTTATTTGATTTGAATAGGATGACTCATTTGTTATTGTTCATAGGAAGTTTATAAACTTCATTGAGTTGTTTACTGAAAGTGGATTACACCATGACGAAAACAGTATTTGGCAACACATATTTGCGTATTTCAAAATAAAATTACACTTATTTGTACTTCAAATAGTTATGTCAGTTTATTTCTTCGGGTAATAAACTGTGCATTTAAAAAATTTTGTGCACATGTGGCATGCTCCTTCTTTATAAATTATTTTGATGACAAAATACATTTTTTAAAGGATGTTCTGGACAATGAACGGAAAGAAGAGATCTGAAACAAGAAAAATATGGCTATATGACGTCCTTGCTTTCGTGATTGAAACTCACCACACCTTACCACATTAAATACGGGGGATAACATGACCCCTGAAATGAAGTTTTATCAACAGGTCCAGGTTCTGGATTGACCTTGAGCCAATCTCTTAATGACTAACTCTGTTATAAGAGAACGATATGCCTGGCTCTACCTGCCTCCTTGGGTTGCTGTGAGATCCAACCAAGATAGTGTTTGTCAAGCACTTTGCTTTTTGTAAAATACTGTGCCAAGTGCACAACTGTCTTAAATGTGTTGTTATTCTCTGTTTATTATCAGAACATTAATATTTCCTCGACTGCATAGTTTTTCAATCTGAAATATATTTTTGAGCCCATCAGTTTTCTTTCAAAACAGATTTGAATGAAACTCCTGTGTGCTCATTCTAGATCAAAGCAGTACTTTCAGGGTTTCTTTCTTTCTCTTTTTTAATGGAGAAGATGTTAGAAGAGAATACTGAGGAAAGAATTCTGGATGGAAAAGGTTCGAGAAATTTTATTCACTCTTAGTGTATTCCTCTCAGTATATTCCTCAAAAGCAAGATGGATCATAATGCCCAATTTAATACTCTGTTCATAATGTTTAAAAACTTAAGCAAGTTTCAATGTATACGCCTAAAATAAGTTAACATATCCTATGTCTGCTAATACAGTCTTAGATGGAAGTTGTAAATGGCTGGGTCAAAGTTATACCCATAAATCAAGTACTGAATTTAAAATTTTGGAGGCATTTATTAAAGATTCACTTATCACTTTTGTACTTAATTGTCAAAGAGGAAAATAAATGTGTATTTTTAGATTTTGTGTGTCATAATATAATTTGTTTACTTTTTCCCAAAATATGCAGTCTAGTACAGAAGTTTAATTGTTACTCCAACAAATGTACATGTGGTAACACTAGAATGTAAAATTTACTGAATTTAGTTGAACCAGCAGTTGTTAATTTTCAGTTAATTAACTGTACATATTTCATTTTCTGAGTGAAAATTGTGGAAGAATTTATCAATATGAATTCAATATGCATGATTTATTAAGTACATTTAAGTCAAAACCAGTATGTGGTAATTTCCTGATAATTGACAAGTCCACACCCATTTATTACATAGAAATGAATATTTCAGTGATTGTCTGGGTAATATTTGTGATTTCACTGTGGTGATGTTTCATTCACTAAGTGATATTTTCAATTTTTCATCAGCGATTTTCTCATCAGTTGTCCAAAATGGAACACAACAGCGGAAGCTATTTTAGAGAGCTATCAGTTTTAGCACATTTGAAAATGTTTATTAGAGAAACTGACTCTGGGGTTAGTTTTAGCATTTATAAAGATTGTTTTTAAAAAATACATAGACAGACATTTGTAAAGATAATTTTTAGAAAATACATAGACATCTTTTATAAGTTGCCTCACATGATCTGTGGTAATATGACTAATCACAATATTATTTTCTCTGTATCTTTGCATTTAATTTGCTATCATCTTAAGATTGCTTCATCAGTGAATATAACAAATAACTGGATTTATATCTTCTCGATTTTGATAGTTGAAATGCTTCTGAATTTCTTGTCTTGGACAAATCAGAGTTCCACGTGACTTCTCAACAAATAACCCAGTCTAATTCATTAATCTGAAAATGATTTTATTAGGAATAATGAAATAATATCTATATAGAGAGAATAGAAAAATGATTAGCTCTATTTTTCTTCCTATTTCTTACATGGATGAGAGAAAAATGCCTTTGTGAATCACATCAGATCCCTTTAACACTCCTTTTACAAAACTTGTATTTTGTTGATTTCTTGAACTCAACCATGTAGTTTCCTTATTGTGTGATGTATCTGCGGCAGGAAACTTTTATGTGCATATGGAGTAGCAGAGAGAAAATTTCAGAAAACGTTGGTGAGGGGCACACTAGACTCCCATTTTATCTTGGGTCACAGTCCCTCAGGAAAATTTCTTTCAGAGTTAAGTGTTAGGAAAAATTTTATTTTTTCCGAAATGAGATCTTTGCAGCTTCTCCTTCTTATTTCGACTACCAGGAAGCTTGGAACTAAATTTACAGCTTAATTTAGCAAGGTATGGCCTGCTTCGCTCTAATTTTCTTTTCGTTTTGTAAATTTTAAATTTTTGTAAGTACATAGTAAGTGTATGTATTTGTGAGGTACATGAGATATTTTGATGCAGGCATATATGTATAGTAATTACATCAGAGTAAATGGAGTATCTATCACCTCAAGCATCTATCCTTCCTTTTGTGTTACAATCCAACTATACTCTTTAAGTTCTTTTAAAATGTACAATAAATTTTTGTTAACTGTAGTCACCCTATTGTGCTATCAAATACTAGATCCACTCTAATTTTTTAATAAACACAACGTTTACCTTGCCATGGTTTATTACTCTTCATCTATACCTTATTAGCTTATATATTTGTATGTATGCATTTTATTTAAGCTCTGTAAAACACTTTCTGAAATGAGATGAAATATATATGAATAATGTATTCTGAGCCTCACATAAACTCTTGAGTATGAAGAGTTAAACATAACCAGAACGTGTGTTGAGAACAATATGAAGGATATTGCTGATATTTCCTTTACAGAGAAATAGGATTCTAATTCACCAGGTATAATATCTCTAAACCTTTTCCAGAGAGGCAAGAAGAAAAATAGATGTACTTGACTGGGAAATTTTATTACATTTATTTATTTATTTTTCTTTCTTTCTTTTTTTTTTTTTTTTTTTTTTTTTTTTTTTTTTTTTTTTTTTATTTATATTATTTATGGGTTTCCCCATGTTGCAAAAGCGCAGGTGGTGATTCATACCTTCTTATTATACGTGTATTCAAAGTGCCACATGATTTCTTTGATGCTATTACGGTGCTGTTCATTTTTTGTATTTACAAGTGCCCCATGTTACCATACTTAGCGCCGCTTTGTCTTGTTCTTTGGTGATTATTGATTCTTTTCGCTCAAACGACAGAGTGTGCTTTTCCACCACGGCTGACCAACGCAACTGCCAATGCGGCGATTCTATTCTTGCCGTTGATTGTTTGAAGAATTATTCGAAACAGCCGCTTTCAGTTAACATGGGTTTTGTTTAGTGGTTGATCATTTCAATAACATTACATCAGTTCTTGTTCAGTTTGATTTGATTGGATTCTCTTTCTATCCTCATTTTTGATTGTTGTTGTGGTTCTGCTCTTTATTTTCCACGGCTGAAACATTACTTTTCAGAGATAGTTCTTTTTACAAATTATCAATAGACGTTGCCAGCGCGGAAGCCTCCTTGGCGTTTTTCTTTTCGGATTGATCTTGTTTCGTTAAATATTTACCACAAATGATGTTGTTGGCTTTGTTTCTTCTTCTTCATACATGTGAGATATTTTGGATCTCTTCTTCAGTTGAAGTGTCACAAGACCTTTGTGGTTGATCTTTCAACTTTTCATATAAGCAGATGTATATTAGTGCATATATTAAAACTATACCACCTTGATCAAGTAAAAGTAAAGTGCAGCTAGCTGACAAGGGTGGGAGAGGAAGAGGGCCAAAGAAGAAAGCTGGGTAGGGCATCATGCCACATAGAAGTGCTGAAAAGGCATATTGGACAAAGACGTGGTTTTATCCAACTTTGTTAGTTTTTTTTTTTTTTTTTTTTTTTTTTTTTTTTTTTTTTTTTTTGAGACAGGATCTTGTTGTGTTGCCCAGGCTAGAGAGCAGTGGCATAATCATAGCTCACTGCAACCTCACACTCCTGGGCTCAAGCGATTCTCCTGCCTCAACCTCCCTAGTAGCTGGGACTACAGATGCACTCCACCATGTCCTGCTAATTTGAATTTAATTTGTAGAGATGGGAGCCTTGCTATGTTGTCCAGGCTGGTCTCGAACTTCTGGCCTCAAATAATCCTCTCACCTTGGTCTCCCAACGTGCTGGGACTACAGGTGTGGGCCACCATACTTGGCCCAACATTTACTTTTCAAAGTTAAGGTTATTTTT